TTGAAATAAAAATGCTTTATACATTTTTCACTGTTAGATATCTTCATGATCACACGCGGAGCCACAAACAAAAGCAGTTAGTCAAGGCAGTGTGTCTTTTGCCGACAAGAAAAAGACAACGTAAAAAAAAAACAGCACAAAGTCTTCCACATTCTTATGCTACATGTACGACGCCACTAAAACAGTTAAACGTAATTTGGTTTACGCAACACTATTACAATGCAATATAACGGTTTATTTTTGCCTCTAAAAAGATGTTATTTGAAGACGACCTTGAACATGTGATACACATGGTTATTCGTTTAACCGTCATCAACAGTATGTCAACATGTAAAGTTTTGGGTTGGGCTTAAATATGTTTCTAAAACCGGATTCACCATCCCCTATCGCCTACACGTTGTGTGCTTGAAAGTCACTTTTTGTTGCCTAGCAACTCGATAAGGGTACGACGCGTCATGTCGGATGATAGCAATAAAATAAAAACGATAAGTTTCCATAATCATAAAAAAGATAACTCGTCTAATGAAAGATTCCGACTATATCATGAGCATTTTCAAATAGTGACGATACCAGAATTTATAGCAATACAGCAACCCTATACAAAACGTCATGGTATATAGTGTCTGGACCAGACAATCCAGTGATTGACATCATAAGCATCCACGTAATTGGGATACATGGCATGTATCAAACAAGTCACCGATCCCTTTACTCTCCTCTTCCGACAAGCATAGTCGCCTTTTACGGCAAGCATGGGTTCCTGAAGACCTATTCTAACACGGATCCTAATATCTAGGATTGTAAATAATAAAAACATTTATATTTCGAATTGTTTGTCCGGAAATCCGTTTCCTATTCTGAGTGTAATGGCTGAACATATAAAACTGGTTATTTTAATCAAATAAGCGGGCGATTCCGACTCAAGTGACAATAAAAAAATAAAAATTCAGGGAAGGTTAAAATAAATGTTGTGTTTAATCTGACATGATAAAATGAAGTTAATTAAAAAATCAATGTAAAAGCTGCATTGAGTGAGTGAGTGAGTTTGTTTAAACGCCACTTTGAAGAATAGTTCAGTTATCAGCATGTAAGTTTAACATGGATGGAAAGCTCAATCACGCATGATGTAGATGTCTGTACAACTGGTGAAACCCACGAGCACGGGTATGGTGCTGACAAACCTAAAAACATTATCGGTGGAATCGGAATTCGAACCCACAATCATAGGTTTCGGGCGTGCTCAAGGGACGCAACTCTGCACAGCGAATCGCGGCGCCTCAGGCGACTGGGCCACCCGTGCCCCCGTATATCTTATGATATATATTATACATAACTACTAATGAATTTCATGAATTTCATTAAACAGTGTAGAGGGGACAAAGACCCTCAATTGATGATGAAGCTAACCAGCCTGACTGTGCCAGGATCACCTAAACCCTCTTTGCTGCATTTATATATTTTAATCTGTACATATTACCAATAATAATTCAACAACTGTCGGGAATGCATGTCTATCTAACGAAGGATTTGCATCATACATTTCAAGAAATCCCTCAATTGGAAAGTGTTCCCTGACACAAGCTTGGTTCTCGTGTGCATTAAGAACAAGTACCCTCATCAAATGCATCGTATCGACGAGGGTAATTAAAGGCAACGCATTATATTACGCTATATCAATATTCATACTCTAATGATCTTGTCTCAATAAAATCCACATTATGTTCTGGAGCGCAAAAAATGTGTTATCTCCTTTTTCGGCGATATTATTCGAAGGTAAGTCGAAGGTAGAAGATATATACATAAATCAGTATCAAAGATCCAAAACATACATCTCTTGTCAATTACTGACTAACTGATAATGCCAATCAAATTCGTACCTCCTTTGTCAATTTCACTCATCAGCTGATATGACATCCACGCGTGTGTTCATTAACTTTACATTGTTTAGTTTTCAATAAATACGCATCAAACAACACAAGCAGCCTCGGGGTGTATGTAAATCTGTACCTTTGTTATGCTAATCCGGGAACGAAAATGACATGTCGTTTTCTCGTTACCCGCGCTTGCAATGTACTAGATATGTGTTCTAGTGTCCGTGTGTCACCGTACTCGCCTGAAATGAGAGATTGTTTATTTCACTTGTCGATGTCTTGTCGCGTGTTAGTCGTTTCCTTCATTTGTCGATAGCTCGCCGATGGCCCCCGGCAGAAGATACGACCATATATCTGTCACTCAACCCGGGGATGCTGTGACTCGGTGTTCTACTATTTCCTTAAACTTAAAATCCGTCGACTTTAATACGATTAACTCTTTTCAGTCATGACGTAACTCACAAGACGGGATGTATTTCGTGAGAGAGATGTGACAAGTCTTTAAAGATAAATCAAAATATCCAAAAATAATATGAATAGCTATATCATATTATTGCTTTGACCACGCGTTACATAAAGATCAATGTTACAAGTACTTTTAACACTCAAGGTAAACAACAAACATAATGAGATTCACTTGAAATTAACGGAACACTTCCATTAATGCATTATAATGACTTATAATGCACTACAATGCATTAGCTACATTGAGGACTCGTATGATAATTGTGACGATGGAAACTATAAACGATTGAACAATTGGAAAAAATAGAAAATACATTTATTTCGAACTTTACGGATAATATGCCATATAATGTCATGAGCGAAACTGTCAAAAGGTGTATGACTTTGACGCGTGTTGTAAAAAGGTTATTACAAACATTCCAGTGGATGCTGATGTGGGTAAAACTCGCAATATCAGTGACGAAACATGAATCTGATGCACTTCCCTATTTGTGCCATATGTTCCCTTGTTAATTCAAGTCACTTGACTGCCTTTTTATGTGTTTGTGATCTATGCAACCTTTTCACGAACACCTGGCATCATAACATTTTCATATTGATTCATAAACGGAATCGTTCAAAGGGCATATTTCTTATGATAAGGGCGTGTGTTCTATCGTTTATATTAACATAACTAAGTGGGCCGAATGCTTCCTTTCTCAAAGACACAAAAAGGCACGTACATCTATCATGACTGGGATGTCATGGCCACACGTGCTGAGGAACACGTTTATCTTTCACACAATACGGTGACACGACCTGGTGCGGGGAACATCATCGTTTCATTCACCTTGCGTGGAATGATGTCGATTTCAATCAATACCCACTTTGAGTACATTTCACTTGTCGATTTCAAAACTTGCTGGGGTTCTGTCTTTGATAAAAATAATGTCCGATGCGGTTCACTATTTGGCTTGTCCAATATCTTCCCGTGTCTGTTCAGAGCACTTGACATGGCTTTGCATGTGTTTGTGAAGGTGCCACCGGTTGGGAAGGATACGCTTATCTTTTCGCGAACACCTTTCGATTCTAAAAGACATGCTTATGATATTGTAAGAAACGTATAACAGATATTTTTTTGCATTTTTGAAGGTGATTTGTCGTGTTTATGTATATTAAAACTGTTCATATCTAAGGTGACGATAGTTTGCATACACCAGTGATGGCCAATATCACGGAAAGGTAGAAACTTCTCACTAACTCCTAAATGTAGAGGTGGGGGGGTGCAGTCATCTAAGGCGCCGCGTTTCGCTGTGCAGAGTTGCGTCCCATGGGCAAGCCAGAAACATATGATTGTGGGTTCGAATCCCGGTTCGCCCTGATTATGTTTCTAGGTTTGTCAGCACCATGCCCGTGCTCGTGGGTTTCACCGGAATGGTAAACGTCCGAGGCGTGCATCACTTCGGGCTTTCCTCCCACATTAAGCTGACACGCTGCGATATAACTGGAATACTGTTAAAAGCGGCGTTAAACCCAACTCACCCTCCCCAGCTGTACAGCACAGGGGTACAACAGACTGATTTCAATTGCGGTATCAGTTTTTTCGATCTGATTTTTTATCACCGTAATTTCAGAAAATATAACGGTTCAGTTTAACGGTTCTTTCAACATACCCATTTTCTGTGCAAACTTTGCAGCTGAGATCTACAACGTTGTCTACACATACGCTGTTTTGAACATCAAACATTGCCTGGCAAAACGTCAAATCTCTCTTTATAAATGCACCTCTGTTTTAGTGACGAAAGGATTTTGAAAGACAAGAGACGAAACAACAACGTATTTGTAAAGCGTCTTTCGCTGATCACCCTTCGGCGCTTTAAGATAGTTTGGAATCAGTGTTGTATTATTATGGTCAAACATGACACGTGTCTCCATTGAAACAAATAGAACCAAACAATTCCATACAAGGATCACGTCGTTTACATCGTTCACATGGATGAGGGTGTTCGTTAAGTCAGTATCAGCTGACGACAGTGTAATATGGTGTACATGGCAACAGATAATGTTTTTTGTACATTTTATGACATGTATCCGTTGCACCTTAAGACCTTAAGGCACAGGTCCCTGCAATTAGTGGATATTAATTATGCATAAAAATCCAATAAGAACCAAAAGAAAATAAGAAACAGATTCTTGATTTGAATTTAAAACGCTCCTCATACTTAAAACCACACTATTAGCATCGATGGGGAGTTTTCCATGTTAATTAACGCAGGACATCTTTAAAGAATCACCCCAGTTCCAAACAAATGATCTTTCAATTTTATTATTCCAAACAATATTTTCCTCGTAAGAGATAAGGGAGATAGTTAGAGGAATATTTTAAGAAAAATCGTCCACTTTGCCTTAATTACACATCGTATGAATCATACAAGAGGGAAATATACCGGGACGGACACATAAATCAGTTTGTGCGCGCATGGGAGCTCAAGATATCTGCTAAAGATATCATTTGACCAGGAAGAATAATGTCTATCTGAGATTCAGCTCAGAGTACAGATCTTGATATTATTTCAAAGTTGTATCTAAAGCAACGCTACAAAACAGACTCTGTACCCGGGCTTTCGCAACAGAGTCCGAGGTATCTCAGACGTGGGGCTGCCTCTCGGATTGGTCGACGAGCAAACATAACACTTTTGAAGCGCGAGTTATGCCGAGTCACTCGTAGGACCTCGGGCGCTACACGACTTCGGCTGGCGACTGTCGGCTCGCGATTGGGCGAGAGGCCTTTTAACCTCACAGCTGAAACACAGTGTTTTGCTCAGCGAGTTTTCATTCCACCGAGAACAGTGATAGGCGAAGATTTACTACTGAACTGGTAAGTTAATGATCCTTTATGGTTTTGTGAACATCCGTTAACGCTGCTACTGACCACTAGCTGACCGGGAGGTGGAAGTGGACAGTGGTGTGAGATGACCGTGGTATTTTCAAACCGAGTGGTCACAAGCCTTAGTTCTCATAAATATTGTACAATCTTCTTAACGAGAGGGAAGGATTTTATGGTGTGTTAATTTCGGTGACATTTTTTCCATACAATCATCCTTCGTCGTTTTATTTCTCGTGTGCAATTTGCCAATTATTATTGCAATAATGTAACGTGTTTAAGGGACGACTAATTGTCGCAGCTCTTGTTAAAGAAGCTAAAGACATTGAAGCAGTGAGAAGAAAAATCTCGGTTTGAAATGAAATTGTCGAGGGGAGATTAAGTTTATGACTTCGCCGTCGCTTTGTTTAATTCGGGCCTATTAAAAACACATAAACCCTCGGGAGGGAAATTTTTCATGAAAATAGAATTGGATTTAATCAGTTAGCAGAAAGAATATGGATTGTTCGAGGAATTTTGTCTTGATATGAAAAATGTATTTCTTCAGATCTGCCCCATCTGTCGCAACGTTCTCGGGGACGTGCTGGTGTTGGTAACGGAGTTGTCATCAATCTATTACAAACAGTGACCCACAACATTGACATTTCATGAATTGATTTAACCGCTAACATGAAGGAAAATATTTCAAAAGATTTAATACAAAATAAATGACAGTACCGCTATGTTTCAGTCGATATCGATAATCAGGTGATCTCGATTAGGTTTGTGTTCAACAGTAAACTAGGTATATAGCTGATAAGTGTACTTGATAATGCATGTAACATCGTCCTGTGTGAGTATTCGATATGTGTGCATTTCGGATATTTGTTTACGTCTCTTGTAGACATGGGCATATCACCCATTTATACTAAAGTGTCCAGTGTGGATTGATCCATAATCCACTCTCACAATACAGCAAATGGTCAAAAGAGAATATTTTACTGAAAATATGTATATATGTAAGTTGAAATTTTACTTACCTTATATATACGCTTAAGTAAGTATTTTGTCACAAAATGTTTCATGAGGAGAGATTTGTATGTGTAAATCGTAAAACGAGCGCTGTAAAATCGTCATACTTGGCAGTAATAGAAACGGTTTCACGAAAATTGAAAATAACAGACAGTGTGACAGCCATGACTATTTGTATATGTATACGATCCTGTTTATACTTTATCACAGGTTTTGATTGGCCAATATATATATATATATATATATAAAATCTCAATGTCTCTTCACCATCTCGAGAAAGTATTCATTTCAACACGCCTTGAAATGTATTGGTACAAGGAAACCGATGTAAACCATCATCTTCCCTTTCATCTGTAGATGTACTGTTATGGTAAAGTAGCGCGTCAGTGAATTACCGCAATCCGTAAATTCTGTAATCCCGTTGAAACAAGAGACTTACATTACGCCCAGGATGATTGGCCAGCAGATACCGCGGAATCGGAAAATGAATATTTCTTTCCGACAGTGCTGCAATACGAGCTTTATTCATACCAGTCTCGTCGGCGTTAAGGTGCCCACTTCGGAAGTCACGCCAAGTCTAGGATTATTCCAACATTTCCGAATTATCCAACAAATATGCAGTCTTTTCACTAATGCTGCCTTATTGCTTTTGCTATTATAATGCACTTGAATAGTTGAAAGGAATGAATGAACTGGCTGCCACTCAAACTTGAAATGGACACAGAGCTACACATGTATATTGCTTGTTCAAATACGGTAGGTTAGTATGCAACTATGAATTAATGATATGATCGGATCGGTAAACAATGTTATGTTGTGTTTCCGTTTCAATGACCCGTTTTTGACGATAACTCTTGAACAAAGAGTTCTAATAATTTATTGTAATGTGTGAGTTGTAGCATTTCATGTGTATTGCCTGTACATGCCTTATATACAGCTTGTTTATTTCATGTTTTCCATGCACCAGTTATCAAGCGATTTCTTGTACCGTTGTTAATTTCACTCCATGCATAATCAAACGTGGCAATTCTGCCGTAGCTCGTCTTGTAATAAAAATGCCAATTAAATTTAACATCACTTAATCTCTGAAATATTTATGTCCAATTGTACTGGCATATTATGCCGACAACATCGTTAAGAGGCCAGTCAATTTGACTCCGTAAAACACATGATTACAAGCATTGTTTTAGAAGATTTTTATGTCGATTTCACCGACATCTCATCGATTGCAATATCCTCTTCAAATAATTCATCCAATATCACGAGAATGGATGCTCACTGGAAAAATATATCAAATTTCTTCCTCTCGGAGGCAATATCGATAACTTGGTGTCAAAACATAATAAAAAGAATATTCTCTCTATTCCCGACTCCGAAATAGGAACAACTCACAATAGTTGCTCGTTCTCCAATGAAAGAACAGCTCTAATGTTTATTTTATAGAGACAATCATGTATCCGACCGTATTCCTTGACAGTTTTATGTTCCCGGCACAATTTATGAACGTCAATTTTCCTTAAATCAGCCGAAATCGGGGGAAGCCTTGTCCCTATCGTAAATATTCGGGGGAGATTTCCTAAGTCAGTTCCTATCAGCGGGCAGCATGCGCGCTAGGCTATAAATTATTTTCTTTTTCGGATTTTAATTCCGGCGTTTGCAATTGCTTAATCAGTTCCCGAATTAACTACAGGGCATTTGGGTCATTCGTGAAAGAAATATCTGCCACCGCACTTTGACCGCCGTGTCGAGGATGCTTCGCCATATGCAGAAAAAGCCACGGATATTTCAATCAAATATCCATACAATCAGTGAATGGTACAGGTGGAGGACTGTCAGTTGCAGGTTTTATTTGTGAATATATTACACGAGTGGATTCTTACATAACAGCACCACATTGTGCGAGATTGATTTCTGAAATATAATCCCACGAATCCGGAGACATCGGTATGATCAAGCATCGATTTATTTCAACGCAAACATGTTATAATTGCAGTTGGTTTCGAGGGGTTCAAAGTTATCTACATATCGTCAATATCTTAAACTAAAGTAGAAATGTTGAGATTGAATGCAAAGTAATTCACCAGATGTCACACAACCTGTTATTCTCAGGATGATTTCAGTGTATTGTTATTCAGATGTATGTTTGTTCGTTCGAAACATATATCCGACTGAATTTGCGCTGATATATTGTACTATTATAAGATATATCGTCAGGTAATATCTTGTGATATTCAGCCATGTTGTTCTTGATAATATTGATATTGATAATAGTTTCCTATATAAATAACTGATATAATGAAACAAATATTCTTCAAGAGGACCTTCAAACGTTGAAACAAATGGATACCTGATTAAGATCTATTTTCTCGTTGTTCTTAAACCAGTGCGCTTCACTGTAAATATTCAAATGAAATTAGATTCAGGTAGAAGTAAAATTAATCAAACAGCGCAAACATGAAATACAGTACCACGAAACATGTTTCATGTAATTTCGTTTGTTAAACAAAACATGTTTCGCAACGTTTCCTGTGAAATCCAACACACTATACAATACACACAACATGCCGTATATCTAAGTCTGTGTACATTACTAGATCACCGAAACCTATCGACGCACTGCTCAACAGTTTGTGATCAATCATATTACAAAAATAGTCAAAATGGTCTTACACACTGAAATTATGAGCCTCTAAATAGGATAATAAATTACCCTGAGACCCCCCCCCCCCCCCCCCCCCTCCCACCACCTCACACACACATAATTATTTACACACACTTATAGTATGTTATTGACATTGGCAATGAGCAGCTATGGGAACAAACACGTGGAAAGCCTGCAAGAGTTGCAACTATTCGCCAAGATAGACGATTCATCACAAAAAGACAAATTACCCCTGAAAGAATATATCAGGCACCCGATATGGCAGAAAAAGAATAGCTGTTTGTTTTTCTTCTAAACCTTTATCTACTTTCTTCTATCGACGCTATTTGTCCATTGGGTATTCTCGCATTACTCGTGTGTGAAATTATGACTGGATATTTGATTGATTTGTCTCTGTAATGGAGGTTAATGCTTCTCTTAGGGAAGCGCATCTATCTTTGTACTTGGGTGACAGACTTCTAGTTGCTAGGCCCCCTCCGAACAAGCGGCGGGGGTGGGCAACAACACTTTGCATTGTTTATTGACGTTGACAATACTTACTTAACGGTTAGACAAGGATAAAAACGCATATTTGTATAATGTAGTTGCACACGTTGTATGTGCCCAAACAAATTTAGTTTTATGTCAAACAAATGTTTATAGCGTATTCTTTGTCTGTGTGTTGTTATTTCTGAGAGTATGGTCCAAATATTGACAACAAATACACGTGGTGTATCTATATATCACAATTGATCATATTCCTATTTTTTTCAAAATTTCTATACAAGATCAAAAATATTAATGTGAATACGTTGCAGGTTTATATTTCATGTAATAAACAGCTTTGTTGACAGGGTTATACATTAATCAACACATCATAGAAAGCTGTGAAATATACACGCACACGTGACAATAATACACGGTTCTTAAAAATATACAAAACAAACGTGTAACGTGAACTCGCCTTGGAGATATTGCATTGTACATTTTCCGTCAAATACAATGGTCTCACGGCCATGTGTCTCCTCAGTGGTAGGAGAGTTTTATTCGTCCCCCATGAGCGGTGTTAGATTTTATTTTCATTTAATCCATTCCAAAGAGAGAATCCCTTAATATTAAGCCTATAAAAGCTTGCCCTAATCCTGTGAGAGAGCCCCCTTCACCAGCCGTCGCAAGGACCTCTACGATACTCCAAGCTACAATTACACAGCTCGGAGTCAAAGAGCAAGCCATGGACTGTTGAAGTGGTCAATGCATGCTTTTATGTCCCGCTACTCGTGTAAATTTCACTGCCGTGCTAACGAGCGGCGAAATCCATTTGACCTTCCATAAAAACACGTCA